TTTTTCTGCACTCCCTCCACCTTGCCTCTTATTCTCTGCTACTTTGTGTGGTTTGGAGCCCTTCCAGTCGGCCTGCCTTTCTTCTTCTGTGGTTTTGTTCAGGAGATTTCATCGTTCCTACAGATTGACAGCTAAGCTCAGGTATGAAAACAAACAGTTAGCTCAGGAATTGACGGGTGAAAAGAAATCCGCCACTAATGCTCCCTCACAAACTTTTCTTTTTGCCTGCTCATACTGATACTAAGCCTTTAAAGCATGCTAGAAAAGTCAGATGGAGATTTGAAATCATTAACCTCTAATAACACAATCCAACATGTTGGACTTAAGCACATTGCCTCTACACGACCATTGTGCTTGTTACTGACTCCCTACATCTAAACCATTATGTAGCCTAACACCCGCCCTACAATGAGCTGTAATTACAGATGTGTCGTCTGCAGGAGCTAAATGACTGGGTTGGCAGACCTTGAAAAGCAATTCTTTGACTCTGTTGATACGATTGTTGTGCTTTGTTTGTTTACTGTACATCGGTGTTCACTTCCACAGGATAAAGCTTTCAAGGCATGTTGGAACACAAATGTGGCAAAAGAATGTCTTGTCAGCCCTAAGGTCAAGTTCTATCGCACCTATCAATTTTCTTTTTAGATTTGTTTTCTAAGATAAAAATTTCACACCAGTCAGATTCCAACACTTTCTGTTGCAACACAATTACTTGTCCTTCAAGGTTTCCATTGAACAATGTTCAGTGCAAGCCTTAAAGGTGCCTGGTATAATTGGCTAAGGAATCAGTGAGCGATCTGCATGGAGCATACAAGGCCACTAGTGCTGTCGTCTATGTGCATGTCAGCCTTTATTTTCTGCTATCTTTCATTCATTTGAAACCTACAGGCATGCTTGCCTTTTGTACTCGCTTTAACCTAACAATTAATAGAACCTCTGATTCATCACAACACTTTAGATCTTAATCATAAGGTGTTTTCTGCCTGCTACCTTTGTTTGTGTTTTAATTAGGCAGACCTTGTGCATCTCCAACCCTGGGCTTCTTTTTAATTGCCCATATTTACATCAGGCAGACATCAAACGCAGAGAGAGAGACATTTGTAAGGGTTGAGCACAAAGCAGCCCTTTGAAATGTCTACAGTCATATGAAATGGCATGCTAATTAAAACTCTGAGGGTGCCTCTGTGATAGGAGAAGCGTTTATATTTGTAACTGTGGCGTATAGACTGTCTCCATAACTCGTGAACACACAGGAGCCATAGTGTTTAATATCAGGCTCCTTATACCTGTTCACAGACCACCAAGTAACCTTCCCGACTCCCGTTCATCCAACAGCACAAACGTCCTGCCGGTAATTTAACACCAAATTTCAAAAGGCTAAATCATCGTAAATATTTTACACTGTGCACTTTGATCTTCTCTGGCAAAGCCTACACAAGCGCAGACACAACGAATCTATTTTACCAAGAGATGATTTATCCTTCAGTTCATTAAGATTATTGCCAATGAATAAACGTATTAGAACACCCAACAGCAAGTTTTGCTTCCCTCTGCAAATGGAGAAAATGTAATTTAATTTTACTTGTGTGCCAACCTGAAACAATTAACCGAAGAATTTAAACATAATAATGTTTTCTTTTAATTGTTGTTATTATTAGATTTGTGCACTTTGTATGGGTTTTAACCAGAGAAGCCATGCTGTGCTTGTTTACAGGTTTGAGGATCTAAAGTGCACATGCTGGTGTAAATTCTTGCATTGCTTAAGTAACTCTCACGACCCTTTGCCTAATATAAGTCTGCAGAAGCTCAAGTCTTTTTGAGAATACAGTTTCCAAAGAGCCAAAGTGGTCAGTTTACTGATAAAAAAGAGAGAATGCAGGAAGGAAACTAAAACTTTGTAAAACAATCTGTCAGCTTGGTGCAGAAGTGTTTGATGATAATGATGTTAAATTAAATAAAAAGAGCCTGGACAGTATAAATCGTGACATGAGCAGTGTTTGTTCTGTCAGATTTAAACTCCTGCAGACTTTTACATGCACAAAAAGCTAATTAATCTTTGAAAAGGACAAAAAAAGAGTCACATTTTAAGAAGATACGTATCATTTTTATTGTATATTCATTCCCATCTGCTCACTACAGACTCATGTTCAGGCTGCTGTTTAATACACCGTATTAGTTTATAATATTATTGTTTAGTGTATTTTTGGATGTAACAGGGACGTTGAGTTTTCGTTCCACCTCATGTACCACATGTGATGCGAATGACAATAAAGAACCTTGAACCTCTTGATATATGATTTACCAAAATATTAACACACACACACAAAAGATGATCCTATGGAGATTTACCGAGGGTGAGTGTAGGAGCCAGTGGCAGCCTGGTGCTATCAGTCAGCTGGTTTGGACCTTTCCTGCACTCTATAAACACGCCTGCTCTCAGTAACAGTCCGTGCTAAGAACTGAGCCCTGCCCATCTTCAGTCCACCTTCACCATGTCATAAACAGACACTATGGGGGAGTGCTGGCTAGCTTTGCTGTGGTGTGCTCAGTGCGCTGCCCTGGGCGTTTACCACCAGAGTTGAGACATTCCACTGGAACGTAAGTTCACCGAGGAGATGACTGCGTGCATCTCCATACCACCTCCTCTCCTATCAAAGTGTCGTCAGCCTCGCTCAGCTCACCCCTGCTCTGTTTACACCAAGCCCACTTTGGGTTCAACAATTGCCAGAGCAGCGTAAAAGCTCTGCATGTGCCAGAGCAGAGGAAGAGGGACACGAGCAAAACTGACAAGCGCAGAAAGTTTCAGGACTCTGAGGAGAAAAAACATTTAACGAAGGAATCGGGCATTCAACAAAAGATAAGAAGCATCAGAGAAAAGGGCAGCCACATGTTTTATTTCAGCGTACAACTTTTTTTTTTTTTTGATATTACAGAACATGCTGAATATTACGCAAGTCTTGATAGGGGTGAGGAAAGTTTTTAAATGGTTCAGAGACGTGTTTTGTGCTGGTTCTGATGATGGAGTCCTGATAATCTTACCTTTGACTTCTGCCAGCAGCTCGCTGGTGTTGAGCCTCTCCATCTTCTCTTTCCAGTCTTTAGAAAGTAACTTCTCCATACACGAAGATTCTAAAAACAAAAATAAAATGTATTCGAGTAAGATTGGAATCAATTAATATTACCTTTATTTAAAGCTGTTCACACGATGTAGCATCACTCTGAGTAACTCTGTGATGTCATACACTTAGTCAGGGCATCAGATGAAAGACAGGTCTTTCGTCTGATGGTGAACATTAAAATACACTGTGCCTGACTGCTGGGAGATGAAACCAAGGCTGGAGTGAGGGGGGACGAAGGCTTTGTGGTGATAGTTTAAGGGCAGAGAGACACATTAAGCAGAAAGAAAGGAGTGCGGACTGGGCGTGTCCAAACGTTCACATAGCTGCCAATGATGAAAACAATTAACATTTGTCCAGCAGACAATGAATCAGAGGAGGAACTGCAATCTGCCATGCTGTCACTGGTGCAGCTGATAAAGAATATACTGGGATGGCTGACCCTCCACTGTCTCTGCATTGCACAGGGTTCAGCCTGTTCCCATCAAGGACCAGTAGCACAAGCACAGCTCCAACCATTCCACCTGGAGCCACTCCTTCCACAGTCTGCCTCCAGTCTGGACCAGTCTCACTCAGGATCATCCACTAATTGGAGTTCTTTTTAAGCAAAAGGACAACACTCATGAAGATTTATTTTTAAATAGTTATACAGAGGGAACATTTCTTCTAAAGTTCTGGTCTCGGTGCAAAGTGTTTCTGAGTTAACGACAAAAACAAAATGTTTCTGTTCTGCACAAAATATTAAAAAGAAAGAAAAAGTTAAGGACGGAGCCCATCACATGCAGCATTCTGGCTTCTTCCAGTTTCCATTATCATTCCTGACATCAAACACAGAGGAGATTTATACAGCCAAGGATGTATACAAGGGTTGTTTCCTTTTATCCGTCTGTTACATCTCTTGCCCGCTTCCACAAAGCAAACACCAGCGTTCGCTCTGACAAACACACGGACTTCAGAGAAACTGGGAGTAACGGAGGGGGTCAATAGTTCTTGTGGCCTTGTTTAGAGATGGCTTTTTGGGAGATCAAGCAGAGGCACCATTTTGTTTGATTGTCCACTTCCTCCAGTGTGATGGGGGTCGACAGGACAGCTTCAGCTTAGGGTCATTATAACATTACTTCTGCTTTATTGACTTTCCAATTCCCAGCTCACAGTTTGTCCCCTTGACCTTAAGAGAGGGAGAAAAAAAGGCAATATCTTCTATATGTGTGTGCGCGTTAACTCCCTGCGTGGCACAAAGATCACAGATCTTAAAACAGAGGTTAAGGGCAGAGGGAGTAGCAGAGCTCGGCTCTTCTTCCCTGTGTCTCACCCGTGGGTGAGGCACTTTCTTCTAGAGCAAATCTTTTGCAGACAAAGCAGCAACACTGCTTGATCATTCTCCTTTAAAACAAAAAAGTCTTATTAGGCAAACACCTGATGTTTGTTTGCACACATACGCTCACACTCTGGAACGCACACATCCATGTGCACGCGCTCTTTCAGAACAGATGCTCCTCCAGCACTTGATCATTAAGGAATGCACCAACAGTTGGAGATAATGTGGTGCCAGCTTCCATTCTACTCCAGTCCTCCCCCTCCCTATCCACCTCCCTCCCAGGAGAGCTGCCTCGCCTTCACTGCTCCATGCCCTGCACTGGGCCAGACACGACCCGTCAAGTCCTCCAGCACGAGAAGCTACAGCTGGAATGCACCGCTGTCCTCCCTGAGCTTCCACCTGAGAGAGGTGAATAATGACCCGGATTAATCTGTAAAATAACTCTCAAGCGCCTTTCACTGTTCTCACAACACGGACAAAAACAGGCAACCAAAGATGGGTTTGGTAAAAAGGCAGCAACTTTTTTGTGTGCGCAGGCATGTCTGAGAAAATCATCTCTGGCTTTTTTCAAATCGCCCTTCCACAGCCTATTTTCCTTCAAGAATTTAGATTAATAGAAGGAATGCTACTTCTTTTTCTTTCTTTTTTTTATTTTTCAAATGCACAACTCTTTTCTCTGGAGACAGTAAAGATTCCAGTGGAAATACTGTTCTGTCTCAAACTGACAGTTTACTGAAGAGATTCTTGAGAACTGATCCATTCTATTGGACATAAGACAACACATTATTAATGATAAAATAGTTCCACTCGACTCCTGATTGTAGTAAAGTTGGAAGGACGAGCAGCTTCTAAAGTTTCAGAGTAAAGTTTGCTGCTGCTGTCCTTTCAAAGTAGGACATCATATTCTGGGGAATTAGCTTCAACAAGAGAAGAGTCCAGTGAGTTTATTTTTATTTTCCTATGGGGGCTATTAAATCTCTTGCACCCCCCCCCCCTTCCATTTCCCCCCTCCCCTTGAGATAAAATGCTCTCAGGCTGGGGAGCAGGTCATTCAGCTGGGATGAGAATGGAATGAAAACAATAGGCCTTATCAGGCTCTTATTTACATTTTCCCAGCATCCCTGCTGTAGACAGCTTGGCTTGTCACCAAGCCCAGATCGCCCCACTGGACCCAGACCAACTTCCTCCAGCCCCAGCTATTCCAACGGTCCCTATGGACCCTTGCCTGGCACAGACCCCCTTCACTCTGCAGCTAGCACTGATATCAACATACAAGACAAAACTACTGGAGTGTCTGTCCAAGACATGTTCCCAGTGAGAGAGGAATGGCTTCTGGGCTACTAAGCCTGTCTGGGTCTCATTGTCTCCTCTCTGGGGCTGCTGCTATGTAAATTGGAAGAATGCCCTTTTTTTTTAAGAGTTTCCAAATGGCACTCAGAAGAAAGTGAATATCCATGACTGATTCCAAACTGGCACAGATCTGTATGTTTCTCTCGTGTCAGAGCTGTTATCTGCGGTGCACGGCGTTCTTATGCAGGTATCGTGTGATCTCGTTCATGTAGGTGAGCAGGCACCTAAAGCTCCGATAAATTTGTGAGATTAGACTTACCCTTCTATTTTTTTACTGTACTAAAAACAAAGCAAATGATCCTTATAAATCTCAACAATGGAATGTTTCAAAGTTGATGTGATATAAACAAAGCCTTCGGCACCTGGCAGCAAGTGGTGCCGGAAAAACACGTGCAGCGTAAACCCAAGGAGTCAAGATGCTGTCAGAGGTGAGTTATCTTAACATTATGAGTATATGCATGTATGTATATATATATATAGCTCTTTTTGTGACATTTTCTGACACATTAAATATCCTCTATTTTCATCCTCGAATATTTAAGCCAACAACTTATTTTGAACTTGTAGTTTCCAAAGAAAAAGACAAAACTTGTATTAAACTGAGTGCTACTGAGCAATAAATGCCTGTGGTAAAAAAATAAAAGATAAAGACTTTTTTAATGGTTTTATTGCAGCAATAAACAATCAGCATAAACTGAAGGGCTCAAATTATGGCATGATATGCCAAACTGACAAGTAAACGCAGTCCTAAACAAATCACTGTCACTTTGTAGTGTGCAGTAAAAAACACATCCTAAAAATTTATGATGCACCAGTTTTCAAATGACTGTCCAGACCAAACTGGAGTTATGAAGTACAGTTTGTGTACTAACGCCAGTAAAAATTCAAGCATTGCTTTGGCATTTTAACTTTCACATATCAATCTTTTCAATCTCTTAAAAGTTTGCTAAATTTGTTGGTGCAACACAACACGCCATCATGGTCCAGAAGACCATGACCGCCTCAAAGCACAAAAATGGTTTGTTACAACATGCAGCAGTGGGTGTTTTATTACCCTCGGTTGTCAGCAATGAAAACGTTTCAACTCCCTGCCACCACATTCTGAGCCTCTCTCTGTGCGTACTATTCTCCCGGGAGAAAGATGATACTTGTGTTTGAGTGTTTGTTGTGTTGAAAAGCCATTGGCAGAGAAAAGGGAGCTTTCTGAGAGAGTCAACTTAGCCATAAGTCATGGACAAGAAACCAAGAGACTTCCCCTCCAGCACTGGCCCTGTACAGTATATCAGTTGTCTCAGCCTCGAGGGAAAACATGTAATTAGGAAATCAATGATCAGCTGACACTGACAATATAAATAATTTCTCTATATAATGCAGCAGATTGTACAGAGAGAGAGAAATGCTGTAAACATTTGTATTTCCAGTGGAAGGAATTAACACGAGGGGGGTTAGAAGCCAAATAAGGAAAAGTCAAAATCATTTGTGTACATTTTGCACTTTGACACATAATGATGTAATCACTCAAAAATGTGTGTATATATATATACATGTATATATACCATACCATACCAATTTATTTATAGAGCACTTAAAACAGGAGCAAGGCCAACCGAAGTGCTGTACAACAGAAACAAACAAGGACAGTGGACAGGAAAACAAAAAATAACAATACAGATACAAATAGCAGCAGATAATAACTAAAAGGCCAACACTGTAGAATACACTGCACAATGCTGCACTATGTATATATATATATATATATATATATATAATATTTAGCTTGTTCATTCAACCTTTATTTCTACAGGTAGATCCCGTTGAGCCTCGAGGACTCATTTACAAGAGAGACCTGATTTCAACAAAGAAAGATGACAACAATGGACAACATCGACAACAATAAGTTATAAAAAGTCATACTAATTTTTTTTTTTTTTTTTTTTACAAATAGGATGGCTAAAAAAAGAAAAGAAAGTAACAAAAAAACTGCTGTTTTTTGTTACTTTCTTTTCTTTTTTGTTGTTGTTCCTTGTTATAATGAAGCATTTACAAGTTATTGTTTTTGGCAGTGAAGAACATGAATTCAAACATAATTTAAGAAGTCTAGTATATGATGATTGCATAGTTGATTCAATTTAATCAATTCAACATTTTTCTTAATATACATGTATTCATTATACTCCAGTTTGTAACAAGATAAATGTGACAAACCTCGTAGTTTGTATTTAGAAATTCTGGTAAATTTCCAGTCCTCCCATTACTGATCAGTTTTTTTTTCTTTTCATGCATTTATCCTGTCTGAGAAATAAAACGATCAAAATCTCACAGAGACAATAATACGTTAACTTCTG